AACTGTGTGTGCCGCTTACTCTGACATTAATTAACATGACATTTAGTCCATGATGTATGTGGTTCTCGCAAAAAATGTACTAAGATTTGCCCGCATTTTAACCGACCGATCATGGGATGCGTCGTGATTTATTTACATGAGCTGCTTCCGGGTTATACCGCCGTGCAGTTCGTAAAAGGAACAATCTTAATTTCTCAAGAATAATATTCATTTCATATTTAATAAAATAATGTACGTTAACATTAATCAAGATATTAATATACCTAGTCGTAATTTCGGAGGAACGTCTCACTGTCATCTGCTTGCCACCAGTTTCTTGCTTGACTTACTTATCTACCCTGAAGACGGAAGCTAAATCTTCCTCCGAAACATCGGAAGTTTTCCTAACTATATGGCATTACAACCAATATTACCGTAATATTCATAGTCACCACGCTGATAACATTAATAGTAACAGTTCATTTATTCTCAGAAGGCCTCGCTATCTCCCGCGTCCATTCTTAAGCGTCATATTATTTATACACGCCCTTCCAATATATATTGAACGGTATAGAGCATATATAGGTGAACAATTTGTCAGTTATTGTAGACTCCTGCTGACGGCTAGGTCTGAGGTGTTCAGGGCCACAGATCTCTGAAACACAGGTACCCCAGAGTGGAATTCTGTTCGGACCACGGAAGACCGTCCGTGTTTCTTGTGGTGTCCCCTCACAGTAAGGCTTTGATGTTGTCTGGTTCAAGCAGTTCTGCGCTCATTGTAATAAGATTTTTTATGGAAGCTACCCTGGCAAAAATTAGGGCTTACTTAAGTAATGCATCATAAAGACATATAAACTTTCGATGTACAGCTTCACACCCCAGCCTTGCTTTACTCCTGGTGAAAGACGCCACGATATCCATTGGATAGGAGGTTGGATGGGCATCAGAGGCGGTCCTCATGCGGGAATCGAACCCACAAATCATTGTCATCCACTTCACAGCCTATGTTTAATGTGTTTCTCCAATTGAGCTAATTTGACTCAATCAAAACAGGGCTATAGCGCTCAATAAGACAAAAAAGAGAACGAAAGAAGGGGAACGAAAAAAAGAAAAATAAGAAAGGAAAGCAAGAAAAAAGAAACAAATAAATTTAACACATAATTATGCAGTTATCATACGTGTGAAGAACCATATTTCCTATTTTCATATTGACAAAATATATCATTTTCAAACTGGAAATCTCTTCTTCTATGTATCTTTTTTGTTTTCCTTGGCACTACAGCCCCAGTGGGCCTAGGCCTACCTCCATGAACTTCTCCGTTCACTTCGGTTTTTCTAGATCTTACACATTCGGTAGGACTCCTTGGGCGGGTGATCAGCTCGTAGCAAGGCCTCTACCTGTACACACACACAAATCAAACATCCATGCCCTGAGTGGTATTCGAACCCACGATCCCAGTTTCCAAGTGAGCGAAGACAGTCTATGTATCTTTAGTGTGTGTTGAATTATCAACAAAAAGAAACATCTTCTTGCGTGTGTTGACATTTCAGGTTAAACATTTACGATATCATTTAAATTCAGTTTATAAATAAATTTAATTTCAAAATTATAAAGTAAAAGAATGTCTTATTTCTGAATATCTCAGCGTGAATAATTCTAAAATGCCATTTATATTTCTTAAATAATTTGCCAAATTTCAGAAATAAAATTATTATTAAGCATAAATCAATAGGATTGTAGCACACTGTTTCCGCTATGACCACCAGTTAGTCTTAGATACCCAATCCACAAACTACAGAATGTAATTGACTTGTTCACGCAGTCAAGAAGCACAATACAGTTACTTAAGTACTTCATTAGTCTATGCCATAAGACAGACAATGTCTGAATTTCACATCCTGTGGTATTTATAAAGGTTATGCCGAATCTGCGACGAATATGAAAGAACTCAGGCTAATGAGATGTGATTATTTTTGCCACCCATGCACAGATGAATGTGACGTAAGGAATGCAACCCACAGAAATCAATATAGATATTCAGTTTTCAAATTAATATAGACCGTTTGGGCCATCTGTTTTAGTACGGAGAACACAGGCAGCGAAGTCGGCTTGCTGCAGAGCGATCTGGTGGATATTCAGCACAACTCAAGACAGTTTACCAGGGAACCTCGCCATTCGTATGAATAGTAAATAAAATTTTCCATTCCGTTGGCTAAATTGGTAGACCTGGCCGCGCCATAACTCAAGCGTTTAGTCGCTGGCTTCCAACCGCGGCGTCCCGGGTTCCGTCCCGGGTATGGTCAAGTGGGATTTGTGGTGGACAATGTGGCGCTGGGGCTGGTTTTTTCTCCGAGTACTTCGGTTTCCCCTGCCAATCTTCATTCCACCAGATTTTCCATCATCATAATCATCCGGGGAAGGNTAAATAAAGTTCAGCTACAATGTCCACCAGCTGTTGAGATCAGCATGTAAATGAATAAAAACATAACTGAATTATTATTTACGTGACATAAACTCTTGTTTTATTTTGCTTGTTTCTCTTATTTGTATTACTCGATGCTTATTTTGCAATTATCTATTAATGAACTGAATTCAATTGCATTGAGTCATTATTTTCAACTCAGATTCAGCATAACTTACAATAATATACAAACTGAAGGCTCGAGTACTGATCTTGAGCTGTGAAATTTATATATAAATATACAAGGACTTAATTCAATCGGATTTGGCATAACTTATAATAATGTACAAGCTGAAGGCTACAGTACTGAGACTGTTCTATGAAAATAATATATTGTTACATGTGCGCCCATTGCCTGGCAACTCGTTGATCAAATCCGTCACTCAAGAAGAATGAACACCGCGGGGGAATAAACGAGCAACGCGAAGGAAGATGAGATGAAACAAAGAGGAAACCTCGGAAAGGAAGAATAGACGTTGTACCGATAGGCTACTCGGGACGATCAGCCTTAAGGAGGGAGCAATGTAAGAAATTTAATCAACGCGTTGTCAGGCAACGGGTGTACATGTAACAGTAAAAAAAAATATGGAATGAATTAAATTGCATTCAATCCTTAATTTCAACTCAGATACGTTATAGCTTGCAATAATTTAAAAACTGAAGGCTACAATACCGACATTGTCTGTCTAATTCTTCTTAAAGATTATAATTCTTACGTCTACTTGATTTAGCAGCTCTGGATGCAAAAGTTCCTAGAGAACAAACGAAATCCGCTAAAGTTTCCCATATAGAGGAGGCATGAGATCTGCTTTCCTCCGTATTGCTGTGTCTGGTACTTTCATTATTTGATTTACTGTTAATGGACAGGGACAAAGGTGGCATCATTTGTATGGGCGATTTGTTAAAATTCTTAGTGGTTATCACTGGGGACGGGGGTAAGTGACGAGATCTTGGCTTGAGATTTATGTCTTGGTACCTTGATGGTCTTCTGGGAGTTTGCGGAAGTTCTCCAGGTCTCTTAGGTAGAATCTTAACTGCAGTGGTGGAATGGTATCTACTGGTGAGTTTTGCTTGTCCTCAGGCATATTCTGTGTCAGTGGACAGACTTCTGTCGCCTAATGAGTAAGCTGGTTCCTCAAAATATGGTCCATCATCGTCGTCTTCACAGCGTCCATCAGGGGTCGCAGGATCATCAGAGTAGGTTCCTCTCGAGTGGGCGTAAGCAATGCTCTTCTGGTAGCTGAACAATTGTCTCTCCAAACCATAATTCTCAGCCTGCAATACGCCAATCTCTCGTCTGAAAACAAAATGGTTGTGTACAATTTAATTTGTAGGTGTTCCCATGCTTATTTTATATTTACTTTTCCTCTAACGCTCTAATTTCCTTTGGGAGAGCGCGTTATTGAATTCCCTAAAGACATGTAGCCGACCTGTTGAAGGCGCAGTGGTTCTCAACTGACGTACCACAAATTTCTGTCCAGTGTGAACCAAGGCTACGAAGAGGAAAATGATTGTATAGAATAAAATATGCATTTGATTAATTTTAATTTTCATTTGTGGCAGAACTTCATGTGTCTGTTCTAGTTAGTTTATTCCTTCATGCAATAAATGACACTGCCTCATTAGCCAGAATATAATGCAAGCTTTCTTTTTCGAAACACAGCTTCTTACACTTGTGTAAGGATCCTTAAGGATAAATATGAAGATGATTAGGAGACGTAACTTTCACAATTAAGTGACACATTCAATTTTGGAAAGGAAATACTTTTCTTCTTAAAAAAACTATCTCTGTGACAGGCCGTCGAGTCTTAAATGGTTTTGAGACGTCGAGGCTCCCACACATTCTAGAAAATCGGCTCATAAATGGCGGTGAGGTCAGCCTTATGCGCCGGCCGCCCTTTACCTCCAGGAAGATTCCTGGTACTCATTTGTGTTAGAGACTGGATCGACCAGAGGGCCATAGTGCGGCTGCAAGGATTAGGTCAATTTATATTCAAATTCCCTCATCAGGAATCGAGCCCGCGATAATTCTAACAAGAAACGAGCGCGAAACAGCTTCTTCGCGCTGATTTCTTGCTTGGATTATTCTTCTACCCTGAAGATGGAGGCAATATGTTCCTCCGATACATCATTTATTGCAAATTCCAGTGCGCAGCACAAGAAGCATTAAATGGTGAATACACTTATATGTGTAACATGATGAAATCAGTTTCCGCCATTAGCATGATCATACCGACCTCATCTGGTAGTTGTGTATTCTGCACACGTCATCATACTTGTGGTATGTTGCTTGGAACAGCAAGTAGCACTCCCCCCACTCCACCTGCACACGTAGCTGACCCTTGTCCGTGAGATAGGGGCAACCTGGTTCCCGCATCTGCATAATACAACACCAACTGTTATCTCGGCTCGTAGCAAGAAGGGGCATTCATTGCACCAAGTACGTG